TTCACTCATTTGGTCTTTTGGAGAATGTTGATTGTACTGCATTTAGACCCCTCTGCCAAGAAATTTGTTTTGCATGCACACGTATAAAAATTGCGGTTTTTATCCAACGCAATCATAGGTTTGAACATTGATTTCAATTTAGACTTGTTTATATTTTTTCGTTTGTGCTTGTATTATATTTGCCTTCGGGTTTATATGATCCGTTCATCCTATTTCGACTCTTCAAAATTCAAGAGTCTATCCTAAATTGAGGTAGATTATATGGCCTTTCAAATATTGTTTCGATTCCTAACATCACTGAAGAGACATTAATTGTCGAAATCCGGATATGGTGTACCAATTTTTGCACCTCATGTTTGCGGTATACCATCTTTTCCGCAAGTTCATTGTTTTCTGTTTGGTAATAAATTAATAATTAAGATTTATTTTGTTACATCTGGTGATCCGTTTATTTGGCAATCGCCATGGCAGTCAGCAGGGTTTAAGAACATCCGTTGTTCGACCTGCTAGTCAAATGCGTTTTGTTAAAATATACTTTTTCACTTTTTTTGTCTTTTGGAAAATGTTGTTTGTGCTGCATTTAGACCCCTCTACCAAGAAATTTGTTTTGCATGCACACGTATAAAAGTTGCGGTTTTCATCCAACATACAAGTCTAAATTGAAAACAACGTTCAAACCTATGATTGCGTTGGATAAAAATCGCATGTTTTATACGTGTACATGCAAAACAAATTTCTTGGTAGAGGGGTCTAAATACAGCACAAACAACATTCTCCAAAAGATCAAATGAGTGAAAAAGTATATTTTAACAAACCGCATTTGACTAGCAGGTCGAACAACTGATGTTCTTAAACCCTGCTGACTGCCATTGGCGATTGCCAAATAAACGGATCACAAGATCTAACAAAATTACCAAACAGAAAACTATAAACTTGCGGAAAAGATGGTATACCGCAAACATGAGGTGCAAAAATTTGTACACCATATCCGGATTTCGACAATCAATGTCTCTTCATTGATGTAAGGAATCGAAACGGTATTTGGAAGGCCATATAATTTACCTCAATTTAGGATAGACTCTTGAATTTTGAAAGAGTCAAAATAGGATGAACGGATCATATAAACCCGAAGGCAAATATAATACAAGCCCAATCGAAAAAATATAAACAAGTCTAAATTGAAAACAACGTTCAAACCTATGATTGCGTTGGATAAAAACCGCAATTTTCATACGTGTGCATGCAAAACAAATTTTTTGGTAGAGGGGTCTAAATACAGCACAAACAACATTCTCCAAAAGACCAAATGAGTGAAAAAGTATATTTTAACAAACCGCATTTGACTAGCAGGTCGAACAACTGATGTTCTTAAACCCTGCTGACTGCCATTGGCGATTGCCAAATAAACGGATCACAAGATCTAACAAAATTACCAAACAGAAAACTATAAACTTGCGGAAAAGATGGTATACCGCAAACATGAGGTGCAAAAATTTGTACACCATATCCGGATTTCGACAATCAATGTCTCTTCATTGATGTAAGGAATCGAAACGGTATTTGGAAGGCCATATAATTTACCTCAATTTAGGATAGACTCTTGAATTTTGAAAGAGTCAAAATAGGATGAACGGATCATATAAACCCGAAGGCAAATATAATACAAGCCCAATCGAAAAAATATAAACAAGTCTAAATTGAAAACAACGTTCAAACCTATGATTGCGTTGGATAAAAACCGCAATTTTCATACGTGTGCATGCAAAACAAATTTTTTGGTAGAGGGGTCTAAATACAGCACAAACAACATTCTCCAAAAGACCAAATGAGTGAAAAAGTATATTTTAACAAAACGCATTTGACTAGCAGGTCGAACAACTGATCTTCTTAAACCCTGCTGACTGCCATTGGCGATTGCCAAATAAACGGATCACCAGATGTAACAAAATGGATCTTAATTATCAATTCATTACCAAATAGAAAACAATGAACTTGCGTAAAAGATGGTATACCGCAAACATGAGGTGCAAAAATTGGTACACCATATCCGGATTTCGACAATTAATGTCTCTTCGGTGATATTAAGAATCGAAACGGTATTTGGAAGGCCATATAATTTATCTCAATTTAGGATTGGACACAACTTTCAAGCTTGATACAGCTCTGAATTTGGATTGTGATTAAATATTTGACACAGCATATGTTTCTGACACAGAATGAATGTGGTCTAATTTAAGAACTTAAAAATTTTTAATTTACCTATTATGGTCCAATATCCAAAATCTAAATACATACACGGTTAGATTCAGCATATCAAAGAACCCCAAGAATTCAATTTTTGTTAAAACCAAACTAAGTTTAATTTTGGACCCTTTGGACCTTAATGTAGACCAATTGGAAAACGGCACCAAAAATTAAGAATCTAAATACACGGTTCGATTCAGCATATCAAAGAAACCAAATATTTCAATTTTTGATGAAATCAAACCTTATCATTATTATTTGCTTTTATATATAAATCAAAAATAACCAACTTAAAATGGAAAATTTTAAAGAAAAAAAAAAGGAAAAAAGGAACCCCCCCCCCCCCATTTTTTTGAACCCCCTTATGATTCATCACCCCCAAACTCAATCCCAACCTTCCCTTTGTGGTATGGTAGCTTGCAGTACAATTTCAAAGAGATCCATACACTTGAACACAAGTTATTGTCTGGAAACTAGAAAAATGCTTGTTTTTTGGCCCCTTTTTGGTCCCAAATTCCTAAACGTTTGGGGCAATTACCCCCAAACGCAAACCAAGCTTTCCCTTTGTGCTATGGAACCTTGTAGTACAATTTCATAAAGATCCATACACTTACACACAAGTTATTGTCCTGAAACTAGAAAAATGCTTGTTTTTTGTCCCTTTTTGGCCCCTAATTCCTAAAATTTTGAGGCAATTACCCCCAAAATCAATCCCAGCCTTTCCTTTGTGGTATGGTACCTTGCAGTACAAATTTCAGAGAGATCCATACACTTGACCACAAGTTATTGTCTGGAAACTAGAAAAATGCTTATTTTTGGCCCCTTATTCCTAAACGCTTTGGGCAAATACCCCAAACTCAATTCCAGCTATCCCTTTGTGATATCAAAACTTGTAGTACAATTTCAGAAAGATCCATACACTTGAACACAAGTTATTGTCTGGAAACTAGAAAAATGCTTATTTTTGGCCCTTTTTTGCCCCCTAATTCCTTAACTATTGGTACCATAACCCCCAAAATAAATCCCAACCTTCCTTTTGTAGTATTGGACCTTATGGTAAAATTTCATAGAGATCCATTCACCTATACACGGAAAGAACTTATAGTGATTGAAAAACAGTTTTCAGAATGATAATACATTGCAAAAAGGAGAAAAGATAACGAGAGTACAATCATATTGATAAGTCGAAAAGAAACTGCTTACACCCATGACCGAAAGAAAAACGACGGAAAGATAAACACCACAACCGTCTACATAGTAATGCACAAAAAGTAAAGATTGAGCGAGACGATCCATACCAAACTTTGTACGGGGGAGGAGTAAACTGATTACTCATACTTTTTTGTTTCTTGCTTGTCTTTTCGGGTGATTGTTTTCATTAAGTACCTATCTGAGTAAGAATGTCCATTTTCCATTTCAGTAGATTTTTACATGATTTTGTTGCATTTAATTTGCTATTACCCCACTGTTACTTTTTCGTTTAATGTTTCAGCGCTTGCAGACATGATTAATCCTACTGCGTACTTATGTTTTTTTTTCTGGTTGTTATCAGTTTATAATTAAATCGGTAAACTGTCTTGTATTTTTTTGTAAACTAAGAAATCTATTACATACTCTGCGATATACAATGTAGGTTTATGACCCGAGACTAGCGGCTTGCACATCACCTGACTATGTCTATATAAACTCGACCACATGCTATTAAGTGTGTATGTACAAACCAAAGAGACTGTCTTCCTGTTTTATTTATTGTTTCATATACTAGTATTATTGACTTGAATTTTTAGTGAAATCTGTAGATTGTTGTCTCATCAGATATCAATCCACGTCTTCTTATCTTTACACTGACTAACAAACTTACTCAATTATAATGGGCGGACGAAATATATTGCAATATTGCAATATTAAAAAAATTTAGTTCCACTGGTCTTGCAGTCAATGTATAGCCTTCATAACTGTTTTTGTTGCTTTACTAATGATATATTCCAATCTATCACAAACGTGTGTTGCGTTTGATGTGTTTTAATAATTTGCAAATTGTTGAACCATTGTATCTGGTAGCGGTAGAAGATGCATGCTGTTGAAAGGGATAAGAAAAGTTATGAACAAATAAACTTTCAAAAGGGAGCAGCGTGACTTTTGCAAATTTTGATACGTTTTTTTCACCAAACATTTGAAAAATGAGTATCCGGTTCGTGTGAATGTCTCTTTTTTTGTACATGTATTTAAGGATAAAAATGCATCATTATAGAAATAAACCTATTTATTTTCATATAAACATCGGTTTAATAAAATTTTCGATTCTCATTTTCTAATTTTCCTGAGAAAAAAAATGTTTCAGAGGGGAAGTGAGGTAAAACTAGTTTGTTTTAATAGAGAAAGGGTAGTGATAAATTCACCATTGAGTTTTAAAAAAAATCTTGTCCCTGTATGTTATTGAAAAAATAGTTTGTTTTTATTAGAGTCGAAAACAATGTTTGTACAATAAACACCCCACAAAAGATGAATTGTTGGTGCCTTAGTCATTATAAGTTCAAATCCATTGTTGTCTTTTTTTTCTCATTGTCGTTTTTCAGTATATCTTAGTTCTGTCTGGTCATTTGTAGCAAGGGTATAAATTACCTCGATAAAAGTATCTAGTTCCCGTTTTCAAATAACTTTATTGTGCTATGAAAATGAGTTTAAAGATTGTATTTGACTGATACATTTTTATTTACATAAAAAAGTGTTAAGATAAATTTGTCGTTCACTTCTTTCTATGATGTTACCAGACAGTTAGTTGTTAACAATTCGTTTACGACTACTTTTCGAACAGGGTAGCCTTTCATTATAAGTAAGCGAACAGCAACGCTCTCACTTGATGATTTTCTGGCTATTTCTGTCACAATGTGTATAGGAGCTGTAGGGAAAAAAGTTGTAAGTCTACCAACAGCTTGCACATAGGCTATAGATTCGTCGCCTCGCTGAATTGATTCGATCAATTTTTCAAAATTGTCTTCTTTCTCCTTTAAATTATCTTCCTGTTGCCTTATTTCTACCTCAGCAGAATCAACAAAATTTTCTAATCTACCTAACCGAAAAGCATCGAGTTGGACGTTTTCTGTTTTCTTTTTAGTGGCCACAAAAACAACAGCAAGAAAAGCTAACAAGGCAATTCCAGTCAAAACGTAGTACCAGTACTTGCCGAACCATTCTTTAATTTCATCACCTGTTTCTTCACTGAATATTCGTTCCATTGCACTCGTATCACTTTTAGATACACATTTGCCATTATTATCACAGTACCCGGCCACACTATTGCATCTCTCTCCAGGTTTAATTTGTAAAATTTTCATATTTTCGTCATATATTGCAAAGTTTGATGCAGGGAAGCATTGTGTTGAATTTGAATGTCTGCAACAAATTAGGCATTCGTTTTCTGTTATTTCTGAACATTTACACTGTTCTAAATTATACTTGTTGCATATACTTTTTGAACAAACTCCAGATTGGCAAAGTCTACGACCATTATCGCATAATGTGTCATCAACTTTATTTTCATTCGTTGGACAGTTGGCAGCAGTTCCATTACAAATGGCATCTGTTGTACACTCGGAACTTGTACTACAAACATGTAGAAGCGTGCTTGAAATAAACTTACACTCCTTAGTACAACATGGAGAATTCTTTGATGAGCACTCATATCCAAGTGCTCGTCGCAGTGTGCATGGCGGATCAGATCCAGATACGCTGCCCTGTGGAGAGCAACAAGGGTCAATGAATGTACATGTATCCGTGTATCCACAATCGCATTCCTCTCCATCCTCAACAACAAAATTTCCGCAATGGGGACCGATATATGATAAAAAGCACCAACCCTTATTTATGATTACCGGATGCATCGAATTAATGCTACATGTTGAAAATTTATTATGATTAGGCTTTGAGCCTTCACTCGCATACGCGTACATAAGATAATTCCCGTTTTCATCATCAGGTGAGCAGGTGGGATGCCCAATAGGGTCATGTGAACTTCCAAAATTATGTCCAAATTCATGAGTTAGTACAAGCGCAAATTCATAACTAAAAATGCGCTCACCATAATTAACCATAGTCACTACAGCCGTGTTGAGACTATAAAGTTTATTGTTCATAGAATACTTTATTCGTTTTTGACATATACCACCCGCTGCACCATATACACTTGAACTAGCAACCCATGCAAGGCCAAGAATGCCACTTTCAAAATCTCTGTAAGTAAAAGCTACTGCCAAACAAAAGTCGTCAAAATTATACTGCGAAAAAGTATCAAGATAGTCGTAAACGTCAAGTGATTCGTCCCCAAGTTTATAACCTGTAGAATATTTGCTCGTGAAAATGGTTATCTTTGAAATCAGAAAACCGATATTGTCCCCATATCCATCACCGTTGAAGTCAGTTCCTCTAAAGGTCACGTCCGCATCACCTAAACGATATACAAGTTCAGATACTGTTGTCCCTATAGATCTTTTCCCAACATGTTCATAAAAGGTATGATCCGCCACCAAATGAACTGTACATGATTTTGCGCTAACTGAGCGTTTTGATCTTGTTTTAGTTTTAAATTTGTTGTAATCAAGCCGAATTGGCGCTGAAAATTTTAAATTCGACTTTCTGTTATGCACTTGCCATTTTGAATAATTTTTCTTTGAGGTCAAATTTTCATCACTGGTATCAAAATGAAGAACACTTGATCGCTCATTTATCAAGTAAATTATACACAGTTCAGACACATCTGTTGTGTTGTAATTGCTAACTGGCTCTATAAAATAGTATGTCTTATTAAGAATAAAATACCCATCAAACTTATTGGTGTCGTCTATTTTTCCATATACAAACGATTCTTTGTCATTGTTAACTATCCCTTTATAAATCTGCTTTCGATTTTGCGATTTCAATTCTTCTTTGTGTTCCGAAATTTCATCCTTAATACTTATAACAACGTCTTCTGCAAATACAGCTGAGTCGTGTCTGAGGCAAAATACAAAGTTAATCTGAATAAACGAAAATAGCAAAGTTTTTTCACACGATTTGTTTTGGCTTTTATTCGTTATTCTTACAAACTCATAAACTGATACATTTCGACCAGTAATGAACTTTCCAAACGGGTTTGCGCCACTTTTGAATTGTTTTTGTACAGTGACACATTGTATTAAGAATGTCAAAATTGTCACAGTAACTGTACACACTACACTGGTTCTCAGGAAAACCATATTAGTACCTTATATCTAATATTGTGTGCATTTTGTATTTCCCTCCAATCAAACTTCCGGCAAAAAGTAAAATAACAAAAATATAACCTTCAGATCCGGCATCGACAAATCATGATTTCAGCAAAATAAAATTTGAAAAATTTCTCTCAGAAAGTCAATAAAACAACACAAAAAGAATTTGATCAAAGAATTATGTTTCTCATGTCATGCGCTAATGTCTTTGTTAAAATTTGTTGAAATTTCCATGATTGATTTATTAATTTTCCCGGAATTTTTCATCATACCGACGTGTTGTCTTCTGTTAAGTATTTTTATGTACTTCCGTTCAAAACAACTATTTGACACGATGAGTAGTATAATAGTTTGTCATATAACAAGAAAAACGTTTTTCACAGACATCAATCATTTGGTAATTTATACAGTTATACACTGAAGCAGGATAGCAAGCAAATATATATATTTTTTTTGCTCACCATCGCACGAATCCGGGTCGTTCGCCCCCTTTCACGTTCGCACCCCACACGTTCGCACCCTTTTTATTGGTTTTTGTGTTGAATAATTTTTAAGCCCCCGCTGTAGCAAAGGGGGCAGTTTTACCCTTGTTCGTCTGTACGTACGTACGTCCCAAAATTGGTTTCCGTTCTGCAACTTAAGTTTGCCTCAACCAAATGTTATGAAACTTGTACACAATGCTTATTACCACAAAACACAGATCAAGTTTAAATTTGATGGAGTCACTTATACCGTTCTAGAGTAAAGCTCCTTTTCAAATGGAAAAATTGCTGAATTTTTCGTTTCCATTCTCTAACTCTAGTTTGCCTCAACCAAATGTTATGAAACTTATACACAATGCTTATTACCACAAAAACACAGATGAAGTTTGAAATTTAGTGGTGTCACTTTTACCGTTCTAGAGTTATGTCCCTTTACAAAGTGGAAAAATTGCTGAATTTTTCGTTTCTGTTCTTGAACTTAAGTTTGCCTCAACTAAATGTTATGAAACTTATGCACAATGCTTATTACCACAAAACTCAGATAAAGTGCAAATTTTGGTAGCGTCACTTTTACTATTTTCTTGAGTTATGTTCCTATATAACATTATACGCAAGCAGGGGCATCATCTGTGTCCCATGGACACATTCCCCATTTATTTAATTGTGTTTTAGTGAGTGTGTTGCTATAAATAAGTTTTATTTATTGTTTTAAAGCAAAAAGATGTTCAAAAAATGTAAACAGGTTTCCTTTAGTATTTTATTAATTAATTTGACGAAATGAATAATAAATAAAAAATGTCCTGATGATCATGGCAAAGTTCATTCATCTAAGACTTGTAAAAGAAAGGTGGAAGATACTAAATGGCTATCAAACTTGTCACAATGATTTTGCCACAAAATCAATATCACAAAAACTGGGCCACAAATCACATGTGTTGTTTAACATTGTTTAAGGTGTTTATGGTGTTGCATATCAGCTATAAGTACCTACAGAGCATTTATTTCCATGATATGTGCAAAGAAGATTGAAGGTACCATCATATACATATATGTACTTATATATATATGCTTATTTGATGTTGTATTACAGCTATCATTTACGATATAGCATTTATTTCCATATTTTTAAGACGCTTGAAGGTACACAATGAAGGTAAAGAAGAACTTAAGTTATATATTTGATTTATTTTTATTCATTATGATATCAACCATTCCAAAAAGTATTCAAAATATCAAATCATTAAAAAAGGATATTTCCTTTTAACATGTTAAAAAATTCATGTATTTCTATTCATGAAAATATAAATATTTTGATATATATATATATATATACATCTAAAAAACATCAAATAATTCAATCAGATTTGAATATAAAAATAGAGTGTGAACGGACCCAGGGGGCGAACATGTAGGGTGCCAACGTGTATTGTGAGCAAACGGACCGGATACCCCATCCCACATGCACTTGTTTCTATCCATGGGAAGGTCGACTATCCATATATACATGTATGGATAGTCTACCTTCCCATGGATAGAAACATGTGCCTGTGCACCATCGTACTCAACAGATTGGGGACGATTCTCATAAATGAGTATCTTACCCATTAATGGGTATTATACCCAAAATTAGGTATCAATTTACACTTACAGTGATAAGAAGGTCAAATTTTGTATTTCATCACGAAAGCTGTCATGGCGCAAATATTCATATAAATGCCGGCAACAGCTTACCCTTTAAGACCATAGACATAGTTCAAATGAGAACTCAATACAAAGAGAATGGCCTCCAAAAATCCGACGTGAAGGCTATTAACTTTTATCCTGATTGTATTTCAGTTATGGTGTCTGTAGGCAAAATGTTGTCCTTTAACTGAATATTTGTACCATAACAGAAATATCTGTGAATCCAAAGTTTATAAATTTATAACAGAAATTAGATACTCTTTTTGGGGTATAATACCCATACATGAACTTAGTACCCGTATAAATGTATAAAATATATTATTTTATCTTTGGTACAATGCAGAGTTCGAGAAGTGTCTAGTAATATGAAATATCTGGTGTACACATCGACCAATCAGGATTAGCGCCATACTCTTATTTAAATACCATGATGTCTTCATAATGCCCATAATAGATAATGGTGGATTATACCTCAATGCACGTATAATTCACCATATAAAATATAGAAAGAGACCAATTGAGGTATTATGCAGTTTTTATCACAGAATTTTTAAAGAGATATTTGAGCATCATTTGCTTATACAGTGATCTGGAAGGATTTTTTCTCTATGGGCCCAGGGCCCCCCAAAAATAAATTCAATGGGCCATTTTTAGAATTAATGGGCCATGTTGTCAAATGAGTGGGCCATTCGTTTACAATAAAAAAAATAAAAAAAAGTGTATATTTCACTGTACTTACAAGTATGATTCTAATTAATATCATGAATATTGTTCCTGTGGTTTTGTAATTTCAATTTCAATGAATATACAATAACTTCTTCCAAACCGGGCAATATTTACTATTAACCTTTATTTACAATGTTAAAACTGGTACTGTTCCTTTGTTCATGTTCATGGTTTTTTTACATTAAATTTGTGTCTTCGTCGATATCATTCTTACTCCAAATGTTCCGTATTAGAGGACGTTTCTGGCATTTCCTCTGCACTTGTATTATAATGACTTCATCACGATAACAAGAATAACAGTAGAGAGCAACGTTAATTAATAAGACACAACAACAATTAGCAGAAGGCATGTTTACAAAATGTCAAAACGAGCCAAAGACCAAACAAATTGACAAGGACAGTTAAGCCCGTTTATTGAGACAAATACTATGCTATTCATAAAAAGGCTTTTGGGTTTTTCAATCGAAATAATAGCAAGCTTACTTAAACGATTATAATTAGAGAAGAATTCTCGCCTGTACTAGCCAATTTTCACAAATTTAAAGTTGTTTATAAAAAAATAGATCATGAATGATGGTTAATTACGTTTTTTGGGTAATCAGTCATATCGCATGTTGCTATTATTACCATAGGAAAACACCCGAGACGTCCCAAAAATATATAGGTGCTCCTATAATTGGAGTAAACACTACACAGTTGTGTACTCACACATGGCGGCACGAAATACAATCGAAAATCCATTTGACGATATCTCAACGTTTCAAAACGAAGTGAAAAATATCATGCGCCACGCGGGCGCTTACGTTTGTCACTCTATGCGCCATTTCTGGTCGATAAGCGCAATTGGCGCAAGGCGCACGTCCTTCCCGATCACTGCTTATACCATAACAAGCTTTGTTGCACATTTGATGATACCTTACAGCTTGTTCAGTGGGGTTGCCATATGGAACTCTTGAGTTCTATTTGGCAACCCCATAATCTATATATATAGCTACTGTTAAGTGTTATTGTGTTCTTGAATGTAAAACAATTTTTGCTGTTTTATGAATATTCTTTTATTTGGTAAATCATTTCATTGAAAAATGAAATTCAAGGCAGTAAAAGAATTTTAATTTAAAAACATGTAAAAACAAGACCAATACAGGGTCTGAACCTGCATTGCTGCATGCAATTGATTGAGGTAACAAGTATACTGGTTGATTCCACAATCTGGTATTAGTCTTGTTTCTGTATGTATCATATCAAATAACATTTTTTTTTACAGTCTTGTGGAGTCAAGTGCACACACATGATATTGACTGCTTTATAATAGCAGTAATGATTAGTTCCCAAACTATCTCGGGTACTATTCATATCGCTTGATAATGTACAAATGTATGTAAAAAATTTCAGGTTTTACCAGCTACAGATTGTTATCTTACTTGCAATGGACATATCAAAACAGAAATAGCTGCACTTGAAAATGGCAAAGTTTACCATGTTTTACCAAGACTTGTTGGGGGCAAGGGAGGTAATGTATTTAATTATCAGGTTTCACTAATTAGCAACAAAAAGGCATATAAAAACAAGACCAAAACTTAAAGATTAACTGAATCAAATTTGACAACAACCTTTCTTGACTATATCGTTCAAAATTGTATATTCAACTAAAAAAATCAATGTTGTTAAGAAAATAACATGAATAAAATCAACAACAAAAAGTCATTAAATCTTTACCAGTCACACTTTGAAAAAATACGGGACAAGAAATTTTGCACTCAAATTAAGTTCTGGGTGATTCAGTGCAAATGTCTTCCAAAGAATCAATGCTTTTCACTATTACTGCAGTCAGAATTTGCTGACTCTTATGAAATCAGAATGTTACACAAAACTGCATTTGAGAAATATGAAATATGTGCCAAAAATCTTTAGTAAAGTGAATAATTGTTTATTAATTTTATATAAGTGAAGTTTCTTACTACAAATTTCTTATTGGAGGCCACAGTTCATGTAATGCAAGGATAAGAGGTATACTATAAACAAAAGAAAACTTCTCTGAAAGTAACCTTTTAAAATAAACATGTCTGATTTCTTATATTTCATATTAAATGTTATAATACACATTTCATATAATCTTTCAGGGTTTGGTTCTATGTTGCGTGCTATTGGAGCACAAATTGAGAAAACAACAAACCATGAAGCTTGCAGAGATATTAGTGGCAGGCGTATGAGAGATGTTAACAATGAGAAAAAGTAAGATAGCATCATGTATCATATCGGAAAGTAAAAAAATGCGATTGTATTTCACTCGTTAACTTAATCCAGTGCAGTTTTAGAAGCTTGAAGGGAAGTAGATGTATTACCGTAATGTCAATATCCTTCTTAACAATACTACTTATTCTGCTCTTTGGTAGGGTTGTTGTCTCTTTGACACATTCCCCGTTTCCATTCTCAATTTTATTTAAAACTTTCCTTTTCTATGGATTTTGTGTCAAAATTCCACAAGATGATGTTTTGCTTGCATTGTTTCTGATGCTGAATGAAAACTTTATTACATGTATAAGTAAAATATAATTATAGCAGTCTAACTATTTGTGCAATGATACTGATAAAAGATATATAAGAATAAGATGAAATAATATTGTATTGAAAGACAAATATTACTGCACAAAAAATGGTCTTGGTCAGTGTCAATTTTTGTTCAAAAGGAAATAATACAATCTGAAATTTTTTTGTATTCCCTAGTTCAATGTTATGTTACTCATGTTCATGTAAGGTATGAAAACAATGATATTGCACAGGATAGACAATAGACATGTTTGTCATTAATTTCTATCCTGAAGTCAAATACATAGAAATAGAAGGTTCTGAAAGATACGAGATGGACCAGAATTTAAGTCTTTAATCAGCATCTTAGTCAGCAAAATAAATTAAATGATGGTTGGGTAATTGGAGAGACAACATCTTTTAATTTACTGGTAGTCTTCATAAGATAACCCAAACATAAAAACAAATGTTTAATAGAGCTTTGTTTTGTAAATAAAGTGTAAGTTAGTATACCAGTCTCTCGACATTAAAACAGTCTGACGTAGCATTTATCCATAGTTCCTATGAACACATTTAAAATATTTGCACAGATTAAAAGAATGGATTGGGCAAAAGGCAGAAAAGGACAGACAACGTGAGATAGAAAAACAGGAAAGAAGAGAGAGAAGGAGGGCAATGCCAAATCACAAATTTGAAGATGAAATTTATCATGAACAGAGGAAAAAAGTAGCAGAAAATCAAGAAGATGCAATTTTGCAGGGTAAATTAATACATGTATATACAATATCAGATTATTTTTTTACAAAAAAAAAATTTATGTAGCTACCTTGATATGTCACATCTCCTTTTTATCATTGATAAAAATATACACATTTGAATATGATCAGTGTGTAATTTTTTCAGAAACTAAGACCAAATTTGAATTTTAAGATTATTAAAGAGATGCTTACCATTACAAACATATTGATACTTAGAGACCTTTCAACAGAAAGCATTAATTTTGATTATTTGCCATCATATTCTCTTGACCATACTGTACCATTGTTTTGGTTTGAAAAGTTGTGCAGGAGTTATTATTTAATATTATTTAACTAAAATTTTATCTGGCAATAAAATACAAATTTGTAAGAAAAATCTGATTGATTTTAGAGAAATCAGAAGTTAACAGTATTTTCACTTTACTTCATGTTGCATTGTATCAAACAACATCTTATAAAAGTCACATAATAAAACATGTACATCTTATTTCATAAAATTAGAAACAGAAACCTTTTCAATTTCTGCTTTTTAGTTAAACTATAAAGGTAAGGTTGTATGCAGAAGTTATTAAGATTTATCAGATTTTGACATTTAACTTTCCCTTGACGCAGTGTTATGTCTAGAATTTAAACGCAGAGGGGTACAGTCTTGAGATGTAGGGCTCATGTCTGAACATGCATTACTTTATCATATTTATAGATAAAGAAATTAAATAATTGAATACAATAAATGTATTTTTGCTGTATTTACATGAAAAATATTAATTTCTCTTCAGAAAACAAAAATGCAAAAGGCACTACATTTACTAAAATAGCAGTTCAGAGAGGTACAGATAATGGACAGAGGGAAGCTGCATTTTTTTTTGACTAGCAAGGACACTTTGTCCTTCATTATTGATAAAATGTTTTTTTCCCACTGAATCTGCAAGTTTGTAATTAATATTAGAGTACATGTAGTATATATATTCTCTATGGAACTTCATCTTAATTAATGTCTTCATATTTAAGGTCTTCAAAAAGTTAACAAGGCAATACCGTCTTGTACAGCAACTTCAGAAACAGCTACAACTAGTGGTTTAAAGAGAAAAACAACTGGAACTGATTCAGGACCTACTGCAAAGTCAGCAAAACAAACAGAATGGTAGTACTTACAAATGTTATATAACAGATATTGTTACAGCTACTGAAGCATACTTTCTAAAACACTTAATCTTCTTGGTCAGGAAATAGACTTTTTGGTCCAACAATTTGGTTTTTATGCCCCCGCCGTAGAGGTGGGGGCATTAAGTTTTACCTTTGTCCGTCTGTACGTACGTCCCAAAATTGGTTTCCGTTCTCTAACTTGAGTTTGCCTCAACCAAATGTTATGAAACTTATACACAATGCTTATTACCACAAAACACAGATCAAGGAAGGGTTTTGGTGGCGTCACTTTAACCGTTCTAGAGTTATGCCCTTTATAAATGGAAAAATTGCAAAATTTTTATTTTCTTCTAAATATCAAGTAATTTATAAAATTGAGAGTTATCTTCCTTTGTCCATGATTATAGTTGAATCAACTACAATCAATGCTTTATACAATGCAATGTTAAATTTTGACTTCCACTGATAAAACACAGATCAAGTTGAATTTAGGTAGTGTCACTTTAACCATTATTGAGTTATGCCCCTTTATAAATCAAAAGATTGCAAAATTTTTAGTTTCCATTCTGTTACTTTAGTTTGCCCCTACCAAACATTATGAAACCTATACACAATATTCATTACCACAAAACTAAGATCAAGTACAAATTTTTTGTTTCCATTTTCTAACTTTAGTTTGCTTCAACCAAATGTTATGAAACTTATACACAATGCTTATTACTACATAATACAGATTAAGTACGAAATTTGGTGGCGACACTTTTACCATTCTTGAGTTATGTCCCTTTATAAACATAAAAGTTGCTGAATTTTTCGTTTCCGTTCTCTAACTTTAGTCTCAACCAAATGTTAAAAAACTTATACACAACCGTTCTAGAGTTATGCGTGTTTACAAATAGAAAAATTGCTGAATTTTTAGTTTCTGTTCTCTACTTAAGTTAGCCTCAACCAAATGATATGAGACTTACACACAATGCTTATTACCACAAAACTCAGATCAAGTTCAAATTTGGGTAGCGTCACTTTTATTAGTTTCTGTTCTCTACTTAAGTTAGCCTCAACCAAATGTTATGAAACTTATACACAATGCTTATTACCACAAAACACAGATCAAATTTGAATTTTGGTCGCGTCACTTTTACCGTTCTTCAGTTATGTCCCTTTATAACAAGGCTTCCAAAATGGTCATATATTCCGGACATTTGTATAATGTCCGGTAAAAGTCCGGCTGGACAAAGCATGAAACGGACATCTACTTTTTAGTTTTCAAGGCTTAAGAGACAGTCATTTTAACATAATTCGGGATCTTTTTGACCCAACCTTTTGCCTTTAACAGCCAGACATTTCCGGTCATAACACTGACATGATCATTAAGTACTATCAAAACAACCCCTACTTTAATACCTTCTCATTTTAATCAAGGCTAATTAGTTGTCGAACAGCTGAAATTTACCTGTTCAGGTGACAGGTAAACTATTTTGAACCGGACATTGATCGGTCTATTCAAAATTATTTTCTTACATTTCAGCGGTTATCATCTAATTAATTTAGTCAAAAAGATTTAAATTATCAGAAATACGTTTACAAATATGATTTGATGAAAAAATTAAAAAAGTGAAAATGAAAAATCGTCATAACCACGTTGTTTGAACCAGAGACATGTCTCTGTTTGAACTAGTACATGTGTGCGCATGTGCGCAGGTGTGAAATTTAATTATGCATCCTAACTTCTTCAAAAAAATTCTTAAATTGTCATTGATACCTTTATCTCACGTTTATTTCGAATATTTTCTTGAAGAAATAACGTAGAAAGAGCTACTGACACTCATTCATGCTTTGCAAACGTACACGGAATTTACGTATCCGTCTCTGGTCCATGTTTTACCATTGTCAAGATAACATCCGGTTTAGATTCAAAACGAAAGTAAAGTTTTTGACAACGTTATTTTGCACAAATAAAGAGTCTAAGCAGATATAAGTACGCTGATATTGCACACTTCGAATGATGCACTGCCAATTTAACAGTTTACGTCAGAACTTCGAATTTGAATCAAAGAAAGTTTAATATCGTTTTTTTTTTAATGTCAATCATTGGGATGGCCAACTCGGCAACTGATTACCATAATTGCCTTTCATTTATTTAGTCTTAAGGGATTAAAATCGGGATAATATATAAAATGTCCGGCTGGCTAAAAATAATTTTGGAAGCCCTGCTTTATAACTATATGATATGCAAGCGGGGGCATCATCTGTGGACACATGTGGACACTATCCACATTTATTTGCAATCAAACTTACGCTGAAAATAGTTCCTTTGCTTTCTGTGTTTTGTTGAGTTTTATTTAACAATTTTTACTGTCCTTTGTAGGTCCTAATTGGTTTAAGTCTCCCCTGCCATGAACATAAAAAAATCCAAGGCAAATGTATGTTAATAATGTGGCAGTGGCTGTGACCTTAACTGATTGTATATATATAGCTTTATATTTTAATTTGTAGAAGTACACAAACAATTTGTTGTATTTTGGCAAATTGTGGTATAAATCTTCCATCTACCATGTAGCAAACAGTTTGAATTGTTTTTATGGTAAAATGACTCACTAAAGTCAGTGTTAAGTTTTTTTCCATTTGGGTCAATTTTTTTAATTCATAGTCAGTGGCACTATATTTGGGAAAATTGATTAATGTACATTTTAAAAGTAATGATCTTGTTTCGAAGGTGTACATGTTTGTCTGGCAGGAGTGTCACCTGATCTTGGCCACTAGTTAAGTTAATATAAGCTTTAGTTCAACTATATTTAATCTAAAAAATGGTTGTTAGGTGGACATGTTAGTTTGCAAGATTCACCTGACCTTAATTTTTTTCATGGTTCAGTGATCAACATAATAACATTAAGTTTTTACCCAAAGGTCAAATTGTCTCTTACTATAAGTAAAAGTTCAGCTTTGATAAGTCTATAAAGTCATGAAAGGTGTTATTGTCTGTCTTACTTGACTTTGACTTTGACCTCATTTTATCATGCTTCATCAAGTTTCTGTTTACAATTTTTTTTACAGGTAAATTGATTTAGTGTTGTGTATAGGTCTGTCTGGCAGTGGTGACTTGACCTTGACCTCTTTTTCATGGTTCATGGTCATTGTTAAGTGTGCTTAATACATGTAATAAGACTGTCAACATATTATTCACTTCTGATCAATGAAACAGACAAGACATTGCAGCATGTGCACTCTCAAGATGTATTTTTCATATATTTTATGAACATGCCTTACAAATCCTAGTTTTGGTCTCAAGTGCACTTAATGAATTATTACAGGAACACATGTTGTATGCAATGAAATCATAAGTTTAAAACTGAATGGTTATGGAAACAAGGCTAAAAACACATTTTAATACTAGTCAGATATAATAAGTAACAATGAAAAGACGTCTCATGAAAAAACTTAACAAGGCCAAACGGTAGATGTCCAATTTATGTCTTTGTAAAAGCACAATTAGATGTGACCTGGTTATATAACCTTTACCTTCTATCATATTGAAGGTTAGTAGCAATCAATAAATGATAATTAAAAGCAGTTCCAGAATAGACTCTTATTCATCATCAAGACCTATGAAATTATTACATTAGATTTATTAAATAAGATCATAGAATGTTCATAGTTACTAAGAATCCATTTTGTAGTTCAAACATCATAATAATCATTGATCACAAATCAAGATTGATAATTAATCTGATTTGATATCAAACCATAATGTAAATGAACAGTGTCAGCTTATGGGAATTTGGGATAATGGTATGTGAAATATGATTTATTTCAACAAATGATTATAGTACAAATATTTTTTTACAGGTTAGGAATTGACATTGATAACCTCAGTGACCTTGACTCTGATGAAGATTCAGAAACCTCGTTACCAGGACAGGAAGATAGTTCTCCGTCACCCAGTAATGAAAATAGTTGTGATCCTTTCCAACAAACTGATAACATCAGTAAATCACAAGATACACAAGACAATTCATACATCAGTGAAAACAAGAAAATGTGTGAGGAAGATAGTTATCAAGAAAAAAAAGAAGCAAAGATCCTTAGTAAAGATAAACAAAAAACTGAAAATGACAAAAATTCAGAAAAGGAAGATGTTAGAAAGGTATCCATTACACAAAGTGAAACATCAAAAGGATTGCTTGACTGCCTGAAGAAGATACCACCTCAGATCAATAAGGAAGAGGTTAAAGAAACATGTATAAAGGTTAGTATAGAATAGGTTACTTATTTATTCACATATAAAAAAAAAAGCAGACACGGGCCTTGTTAGTGTGATGCACTTTCCCCCATTACTTTTGCAAACCAGATAGGTGTCTGGCCAGCTGTCAGTAGTGGAGCTGTAAATATAAACAGGAATTTACATGGGAAAAGATGGAATAAAATCTGAATCAAATCATAAATAGATTGATTTTGTCCAATAATATAAAAAATAAAAATCCTAAAAATTGTGTCAGAATGCCATCCCTGTAAATTAAGAAAAAAAATATATGTTGTGTTGTGAGTTGAAAGTGGAATACCCAAGGATCCTTGCAACTCACTTTAATGTGTCCTTCATCTTGGACACACCAAAAGGAGAAGGTATTATAAAGGCGCTTGTTTGGTCCAGGGAATTTGAAGATGATCTTTCTTTTATTTTCTTTAAATCTATCAAATAACATGTTCAGATTTCCATAAAGATGTATGTCAGCAGTGACAAATTGGAATTTAGTTTATTTATTGTCTTTATGCCTACAAAACTATTTCATTATAGGAAATAATTAATAAATGGCAAAGATATTTGCAACCTCCTTATATCCATCTTGTCAACTCTTCAGATACCAGTGAGAATTTTAACTGGCCATTATTTTCATTTTGAATAGCAGTGTCCTCAAACCTTCCTCTTTTATGATACATATTATGTATATATTTTCATTCTTTGTACCAATTTGTATACAGTGGTTTAAAAGGTCTTGTTTTGTCTTGGAAAAAGAAATCTCACTTGTTATTCCTATGTAACATCATTTCATTACATATCATTAAAATATCCTGTGATAATAGACTAATCATTGTCAAAACATTATCTTAAAAAAAAAAAAAGATTGCCCAAGGTACATGACATGTTGTCTTATATAAAAATATGAAGATGTGGTATCATTGCCAATGAGACAACTCTCCACAGAGACAGCTATAGGTCACAGTAACGCCTTCAACAATGAACAAAACCCATACCGCATTGTTAGCTATAAAAGGCCCCGATAAGGTTGAAGAAGCATGTTATAAAGGTTTATAGTAAAGAATTGGTTACTTATTTATTGGTCATTAATGGAAAAGAATGGATCTAGTGTATCAATTCATTGTACAAAATCCTAAACACTAATAAAACAACACCTGACATAATCTAAAGCAAGGGAACAACACTCTATTGCTGTTTCTTCATAACAAATTCACAATGAAGCCTTCAACACAAAGCAAAAGTACACATTGTTTACCTAATTGCAAACTAAAGCCACCCCCTAGCACCAGGTTGAGACATTTTTTTTGTGGACTACCCTACATCTGTTGACTTTGAAGTTATGTATAAGCATAGGACTATTTAGTGTTAATCCATGATAATATAATAATTATGTCCTGCATTTATTTCCTTTTGATTTCTCAATTTTTGTGCCTAATATAAACTAATTCTTTGTATGCAATTTAAATAGATCTTGGACCAACTCATTGTTCTCTAATCATACAAACTTATATTATTTGTCATATGGTTTCAAGGATAGGTTTAGGGTTTTTATACGACCGCAAAAATTTTGCGGTCGTATATTGGTATCACGTTGTCGTCGTCCAAAGACACATTGGTTTCCGGACAATAACTTTTGTTTAAGTGTATGGATTTCTATGAAATTTTACCATAAGGTTTATGACCACAAAAGGAAGGCTGGGATTGATTTTGGGGGTTATGGTCTTAACAGTTTAGGAATTAGGGGCCAAAATGGGGCCGAAATAAGCATTTTTGTTGAGCCTTCGACTTTAGTCGAAAAAGCGAGACATAGCGATCCTACATTCCGTCGTCGGCGTCGTCCACAAATATTCACTCTGTGGTTAAAGTTTTTAAAATTTTAATAACTTTCTTAAACTATCATGAATATTTTCCAAACTTGGACAGAAGCTTGTTTATGATCATAAGATAGTATCCAGAAGTAAATTTTGTAAAAAAAAAATTCCTGTTTTTCCGTATTTTACTTATAATTATATATATAAATGGACTTGGTTTTTCTGCAAGGAAATATTACATTCACTCTTTGTTTAAAGTTTTTAAAATTTTAATAACTTTCTCAAACTATCCTGGATTTCTACCAAACTTGGACAGAAGCTTGTTTATGATCATAAGATAGTATCCAGAAGTAAATTTAAAAAAAAAAAATCCTATTTTTCCATATTTTACTTGTAAGTGGACTTAGTTTTTCTGCCAGGAAACATTACATTCAATCTGTGGTTAAAGTTTTTAAAATTTTAATAACTTTCTTAAACTATCCTGGATTTGTACCAAACATGGACAGAAGTTTGTTTATGATCAAAAGCTAGTATCTAGAAGGAAATTTTTATTAAAATTTTGTACTTGTTTATCCATATTTTACTTATAAATGGACTTAGTATTTCTTCAAGTTAACATTACATAGTTTTTTAAAACATTTATTAGATTCATTAACTATCCTGGATTTTTACAAAACTTGGACAGAAGCTTCTTACAAAAAAAAAATAGTATCGAGAGGAATATTTTTATTAAATTTTTTCCTCATCTCATTTTTGTTGAGCCTGCGATTAACAGCAATAGTAGGCGAGACACTGGGTTCCGCGGAACCCTTAAGAATTTTTCTAGTTTCAAGCCAATAACTTGTGAAATGGTGTATGGATCTCTCTGAAATTATACCACAAGTTACCATATTACAAAGGGATGGTAAGAATTTGCTTTGGGGGGTTATGGCTCAAACTGTTTAGGAATTAGGGGCAAAAAAAGGGGAAAAACAAGGGTTTCCAAGTTAATGGACATTTACTAAGTACAAAACATAATTTTAAAGCAGTGTAAGGGAGGTAATTCAAACATATTGTCAAATTACCTCCCTTACGCTGCTTGTAAATTATTTATAAAGAAATGTATTGTCTTTCGGTGATTAGCTGTCAATTTATTTTTAGAAGTTACTACTTTAAAAATGTTTAATAATGGTAATTTAATTATAGCCATGATTATGTATGTAAAGGAATTTTATTTTTAGATATTACTATTTAATGTTGCTGATGAAGGCTTTTTTATTTTTAGGCATGATTATGATGTCATTTTCTATTTTAAAAAATATTTAATTTTAGCCATGATTATGTATGTGAAGGAATTTTATTTTTAGATATTACTATTTAATGTTGCTGATGAAAATGTTTTAATTTTAGGCATGATTATGATGTAATTTTCTATTTTAATACTTTTATGATGTATTTAAATGGGGTTTTATGGTTGCAAAGTCCTAGCTGTCAATTTATTCTTAGAAGTTACTTTTGAATGCTGATGAAGGAATTTTATTTTTAGATATTAATATTAAAAGTTGCTGATGAAGGTTTTTTAATTTTAGCCATGACTATGATGTCATTTTCTATTTTAATACTTTTATGATGTATTTAAATGGGCTTTTATGGTTAAAAAAAGCATTTTTCTAGTTTCCAGACAGTGACTTGTGATTAAGTGTATGGATCTCTCTAAAGTTGTACTACGAGGTTCCATACTACAAAGGAAAGACTGCAATTGTGTTTGATGGTTAATGCTGAAAGGGGGATTCAAAAAGTTTGGGGGGGGGGGGGGGGGGGGGGCGGAGGAGGGGTTTCCAATTTTTTTCTTAAAAAGGTTTCATATTTTTTTTCAAAATTTTCAAAATTCAAATTTTTTAAAAGTTTCAAGAAGAAATCTTCAATTGCACAGTATTGCGCATTAGATTTGTAAGATCTTTGACCACATTTATTTTGTGTCAGAAACCTATATTATGTCAAAAATTTGATCACAATCCTAATTCAGATAGTATCAAGCTTGAATATTGTGTCCAAATTTGCCCCAACTGTTCAGGGTTTTCAACCACTGCGGTCGTATCAGGCTGCGCTCAGCGAAGCATTTTATTGTTGATTAGTCTTTAAGTCCATATTTAAAATTTGAAGAGCAATTTTTTGGAAACATATCATACCTTAGCAAAAAAGACATATCATTCAACAAATAATATTGAATGAAGAGTTAAAAAACTTAATGAAGGTATTCAGAGACCTGCTGAGAATATAACTAATATTTGCTAGCTATAAAAATCTAATTCTGACACTATTCAGTAATTTAGAAAAAATCATGTAAAGCTTTTTTTTTAAATATCATATCTACTTTTGGTTCTACATTAAATTAACAGAAATACAAATATATAAATGTATTAGAGTTAATGATATGAAGGAATAGTTTTATGACTTGATGATATAATCTTATTTATTTTTTAGTCATGTATTTTTATTACCATTTGGGAAAAGTTGGGATATAGGATAGATGCACAAGCTACAGCAATCTCATGAAATACTAAGTAACATAAAAAACTAAAATATATTAATACAACTAAACCCCTAACGGGAAGGATTGTACTTGATTTTCATATGATGAAGACATAATCTTTCAATTAGTTTAATTGAGGTCTGGAGCTGGCATGTCAGTAACTGCTAGTAGTCCTTTGTTAATTTATGTATCATTGTCATTTTGCTTAGTTTCTTTTGTTACCTATTCTGACATCGGACTCAGACTTCTTTTAAACTGAGTTTTACTGTGCATATTGCTATGTGTTTCTTTATTATATATTGGCTAGAGGTATAGGGGGAGGGTTGAGATCTCACAAAACATGTTTAACCCCGCCGCATTTTTGCGCCTGTCCCAAGTCAGGAGCCTTCGGGCCTTTGTAAGTCTAGTATGTTTTTTAATTTTAGTTCATTTATATGTTTTGGAGTTTAGTGTGACGTCCATTTTCACTGAACTAGCACACAATTTTATTTAGGGGCCAGCTGAGGACCACCTCCGGGTGCGGGATTTTCTCGCTGCATTGAAGACCCATTGGTGGCCTTCGGCTGTTTTCTGCTCTTTAGTTGGGTTGTTGTCTCTTTGACATATTCCCCATTTCCATTCTCAATTTTATTAATAACTTAAAAATACATTGATTTTTTTTTCAGGATGAACAGGTACAGGGAACAGTTAATCTTGATGATTTCAATTCAACAGAAGATCTTCAAGCTCTTGGTTTAGATCGTCTTAAGCTTGCATTAATTGACAGAAAAATGAAATGTGGTGGGAATCTGGAGCAAAGAGCTGAAAGACTTTTTTCTGTGAAAGGCCTTAAAGAGGATCAAATTCCTCCATCTTTACTGTCAAAACCATGTAAAAAGAAATGAAAATTGGCAGAATTGTCAGTTGAAGAAAAAAAGAAAAAAATTTATTTGAAATATGTAAAATATATTTTAATTGAACAAGTTTTTATGCCCCCGCTGTAGCGGAGGGGGCATTAAGTTTTACCCTTGTCCATCTGTACGTACGTCCAGCCGTACCTCCCAAAATTGGTTTCCGTTCTCTAACTTGAGTTTGCCTCAACCAAATGTTATGAAACTTATACATAATGCTTATTACCACAAAACACAGATCAAGTTTGAATTTTGGTGGCGTCACTTTAACCGTTCTAGAGTTATGCCCCTTTATAATGGAAAAATTACTAAATTTTTAGTTTCCGTTCTCTTACTTAAGTTTGCCTCAACCAAATGTTATGAAACTTATACACAATGCTTATTATCACAGAATACAGATCAAGGGTGCATTTTGGTGGCATCACTCAAACTATTCTAGAGTAATGCCCCTTTATAAATGGAAAAATTGCAAAAGTTTTAGTTTCCGTTCTCTAATTTAAGTTTGCCTCAACCAAATGTTATGAAACTTATACACAATGCTTATTAGCACAAAACACAGATCAAGTTTGAATTTTGGTGGCGTCACTTTAACCGTTCTAGAGAAATGCCCCTTTATAAATGGAATAATTGCAAAATTTTCAGTTTCAGTTCTGTAACTTAAGTTTGCCTCAACCAAATGTTATGAGATTTACACACAATGCTTATTACCACAAAACTCAGATCAAGTTCAAATTTGGGTAGCGTCACTTTTACCGTTCTTCAGTTATGTCTCTTTATAACTTTGATATGCAAGCGGGGGCATCATCTGTGGACACATGTGGACACAATCCACATTTATTTTATACTAAATTTGCTATTGTAATTTTCATATGAGATTTAAAAATTAAAGATTATCAATTTTCTGTGTTCATATACTAAACAAGGAAATTAGTTTTTTCATTGATCAACGAAGATAAAATCTACCTGTTCTGCTTACATCTAAGCATACACTACCATTAACTAGCTTGTGTGATTTACGATTGATTTTCATTTAAGTGTTGTATATTAACCACAAATCATTTAAACTAATATCAATTTTGGTGTCAACTTGAAATAAAAAAACTAGACATGTACATGCTGTTTCCGGTGGTGTCAGTGGCAGCATCAACAATGTATAAGTCTGTGCTAAGGTCAGTCTACAGTCTAAGGGGTACCACTAGTGGTAGGTCAATGATAATTGGTATGCAGTTGTAGAAACATTGGCACACCTCATTTCCATGGAGATTATTTCACCCCTTTTCCCTCAGTCATAGTCTATTGACTTTGAAACTTGTTCATAGTTTACATATTAAAAGTTTATGATTAGGTCAGTTTCAGAGGAATAACTAGTGGTATGTCAATAATATTTGGTATGTAGTTGTGTTAGCTTTGGCATGTCTCATTTCCATGTAGATTATATGACCTCCCATCCTCATCATTGTTAATTGACTGAAACTTTTGCATAACTTCCTTATTGAAGTTTGTGTTTAGGTCAGTTTTTAAGGGAATCACTTATGATAAGTCACTGGTGTTCAGTATGTAGTTGAATTAGCATTAGTATTTCACAATTCCACAGAGGTATTGTCATCCCTACACCTTCATTCATGGTTCATTGACTTTGAATGTTTTACATAGTTCACATGTTAAAGTATTGCAGTTTTAATTTCAACATTTGCATTATACTATCAAAATAACATAAAGGTAAGACACATCTATATGTCAACAGTTTTTGTAAGAATTTCATTTCAATTGCAAAAGACAAAAACCACAGAACAATTATAATATCCCATGCATTCCCCACTTGTTTGTCCAATCTTCTATGTTTGCTAGATCATCTTCCAGTAGTTTGTGGTCTTTTTCTGTAATGCCTTACAGAAGAATTGACAGTATCTTGGAGGTCATTTTTGAGACATAAGATTGGTAATTTTCCAAGTACTGTTCCTTGTGGGACTCCTGAGTCCTCTTTTACTTCTTCTACTACAACCTTCGTCTTCATCTGTGTTAGAAACGTATTTAGCCAGTTGTTTAATTCCATATTGTTGCATTTTCAAAAATAATTTATTATTCCGTACAATTGTCAAAAGCTTTGGAAAAATCAAGGATTGCAATGTCAGTTTTGTAGACCAGCGTGGAATATGTTCATAAAGTCATGTAAGGTGACTTTCAATTGTGTTTCGCACGAATCGCCAGATCTGAATCCATGGTTGAGTGATGTTAATACTCTGTGCTTTTCAAGATGTTTAAGGATGTGCTTGCATATAATATTTTTTAGTAGTTAGCAAGGTCCCAATATTAATGAGAGTGGTCTGTAATTTTCAATAGCGTTTTTGTCTCCCATTTCAATTGAAAACGAAATGTTTGCATTGAGCCAGTCTTCAGGAAGTATTCCAGTGTCTATTGATTTTTGGAAGATAGCAGATAGGCTTGGTGCGATTCATGTGCACATTCTTTTTGAATTCTGTTTGATGTTGATAGGTCAATTGTGAATACGGATCTAAATTGTTGAATGTATATTTCAGACTTCTCTATGATGTCACCGATCAGCTTCCGTTTGTTTTTTAGAGGTGATACTCCAATATTATCTGTTTTTCTGGATTTGATGTATTTCCAGAATGGCTTGGTGATGTTTGTTTCAAGGCCTTTGATGATGGTATCATTGATGCATGGGTATTCTACTTTCCAAACTTGCCTGTTTATTTCTTTTTGGAACTGTCTATAATTTTCCACTTGATGGGTCGTTTAGCTTGTCGATATATAGTCTTTGTTTCTTTTTGAACAGCTTCCTTTTTTTATGGCTTATTCAGGATAGGTTGTTCTTGGAGCGAAATTCTTTAGATGGTAAGTGTTTATCCATACTTTTAAAAACTTTCGATTCATAACCCAAAAACTCACTTTACAATTTTAATGTGTAATACAGACAGATATCATGTATATCCAGTTTTAACGAAACAATAGAAATGGAGATCTCTGTTATAGAAGTGGAAAACTTGCATAACAAGTAGTAGTTTTAATTCAGGTGTGCATGACTCTACCCATTTGTCCTTACAACCTTTAATAATCAACACACAAAAAATGGCAAATGACATTCAAGTTTTAATTATTCTTATTGCTCATCCTGAATATGCTTGAGTGGCCTCGGTGGCCGAGTAATTAGGAAGTTCTACTCCTGTATCACTAGCCTGTTCACGCTGAGGTTGTGAGTTCGAGCCCCGCACGTGGCAGGTGCTTTCGACTCGCATCTTAATTAACTAGGATTGCCAGTTTTTCCTCCGAAAGTCGGTGGTTCTCTCCGGGCACTCCATCTTCCTCTACCAATAAAACCTGGCCGCCACGAAATAGCTTATAGTGCTGGGAATGGAGCGAAAACACAAAAAATCAATCAATCAATCTGAATATGCTTGATATATTGCCACTAGATTTGAAGCAGGCAACAATCAATCCCATCAGCGACAATAATTACATCAAATTCTGGCAGATGGAAGAAATATGCATGCTGTTTTGGCGGATTCCACAATGGTTAACAGTTTGTGATTGGGTAACATAGGTAAAAAAATCTTAGTGTTAACATTTTGTGATGTTTTAAGGCTTGATTTTTTTCTGTAGTAACATATTTAAAATTCACATTAGAACAACAAAATGTTTTAAAGATATAGACGATGTCATGCTAAAAAATTTAATATTTTCCAATTAAAACGGAGGGGCATACGCCCTCTACAATTCCCCTTAAATCCTCCACTTATTCTCTATATGGATTACTACTTCATTAGAAACTCATCATCTGACAGTCGGATGTCTGTTACTTACTAAGTATCTTTTATCTTGGTACGTTGGCCATCAATTAAGAACACCATTGAGTTTTCATACCATAGATAGTTGTGTTGCGTACATGCATATAAATGATTCTGTCTTCTTTGCTTCTCTTTTATCTTAGACATAATTTGAAACTGTATTCCAGACATTCTGTGGCTTTCTGATATCTGTCTGGTAAATATCCAAGATAGTGAGTTGATTTTTCTCAGCAGTCTGCTTCTATAAAATGTGTACTATAAGAACAAACAGTAGTTTCCAGTCCAGTATAACAAAGATTATTTATTATTTCACATGCATATAAATGGTTCTGTCTTCTTTGCTTCTCTTATATCTTAGACATAATTTACATTGCATGCTTAGTTTATCTTTTTTTTATTCAGAAAAGCTTGTTTGCCAACTTGCTAAATATTGTCTGCACACCATATTTGTACATGCATTATTTAACTTACCAAGTATTTCTGTTCAGTGTAGACTAGTAGATTCATTAAAACGTAACTTGTGGAGTTTGAAGTAGTTTGAGATACAGCAAAGAATAGCTTGATTGCTGGTTATTCCTTGATGTCCAGCAGGTATCTTGACTTTGGTTAACAAGTGTGAAATCCAAACCCAAACAGCACTAATGCCATCACATCTATCGTGTATATTTAACAAGACTTTTGTTGATTGAAGTCAATCGTTCCATTTACTCACGATCCTGACCAGAGAAATATATAATCCATCAAAGTGAACAAGATTCCGGGTTTTTATGCCCCCGCCCCATAAAAAGAAATGAAAATTGGCAGAATTGTCAGTTGAAGGAAAAAAAGAAAAAAATTTATATGAAATATGTAAAATATATTTTAATTGAACAAGTTTTTATGCCCCCGCCGTAGCGGCGGGGGCATTAAGTTTTACCCTTGTCCGTCTGTACGTACGTCCGTCCGTACGTCCCATAATTGGTTTCCGTTCTCAAACTTGAGTTCTCTTAACCAAATTATATGAAACTTATACACAATGCTTATTACCACAAAACAAAGATCAAGTTTGAATTTTGGTGGTGTCACTTTAACCATTCTAGAGTTATGCCCCTTTATAAATTGAAAAATTGCAAAATATTTAGTTTCCGTTCTCTCACTTAAGTTTGCCTCAACCAAATGTTATAAAACTTATACACAATGCTTATTACCACAAAACACAGATCAAGGTAGAATTTTGGTGGCGTCACTCAAACCGTTCTAGAGTTAAGCCCCTTTATAAATGGAATAATTGCAAATTTTTTAGTTTCCATTCTCTAACTTAAGTTTGCCTTGACAAAATGTTATGAAACTTACACACAATGCTTATTACCACAAAACACAGATCAAGTTTGAATTTTGGTGGCGTCACTTTAACCGTTCTAGAGTTATGCCCCTTTATGAATGGAAAAATTGCAAAAATTTTAGTTTCCGTTCTCTTACTTAAGTTTGCCTCAACAAAATGTTATGAAACTTATACACAATGCTTATTACTACAAAACACAGATCAAGTATGAATTTTGGTGGCGTCACTTTTACCGTTCTAGAGTAATGCCCCTTTATAAATGGAAAAATTGCAAAATTTTTATTTTCTTCTAAATATCAAGTAATTTTTAAAATTGGAGTTATCTTCCTTTTCCATGATTATAGTTGAATTAACTACAATCAATGCTTTATACAATGCAATGTTTAATTTTGACCTCCCAGTGGCGGATCCAGAGGGGGGCGTAGAGGGCGTACGCCCCCCCCCCCCCCCCCCCTTTGCTTGCACTTTTTTTTTTTTTTTTTTTGTAAAATGATTTATCAGACTAGACTTCGCGAACTTTGCCATTTCCCGTGTATTTAATTTTTATGCGACAATTCTTTACTTATAAAGATATTTTTCGCTCGTATTTACTGTAATATATTATTGATTATGTCAAAGTCATGTGATTCGCTACGGTGGAGTTGACCAGTACGTCGAAAAAAACGTCACTCAGTCATTTTGAAATTCAAATTACAGTAACACATTGCTTAGGCTGAGGATGACAAGCATGACGCCTTCAAAGCTACAAAGTATTGAGCAAGAACGTATTGAC